CTATTTATGGATGATTTTGACATCAATTATTATTCGTGGACATAGAAGTAATTGTCTGTTCGTGTTCCTGAGATAGCTAACGTTTCGGCATAACCCTTCATCCTCACTTATTGTAATGGTCACAGCTAGCATGTATACATGATGTCCACTTCAACAATTTGTATGAGAGTGTTAGTGTACCCTCATTGTGTGTGTGTCTGTGTGTGCGTGTGGGGGGGGAAGGAGTCACAAGCTTGGGAGGTGTGGGTGTGCATCTTTTCTTTGTTGTCTGGAATGGAGGCACCATGTTTTACCTCTCTCTCTCTCTCACTCCAATCGAAGTTTGTATTAAGGGTTACCAATAAAAGTGTGCGCTTACTTATAAAAATAATAATTCTCTCCTCAAACAAGCAGTCTCATTTCCGATCCCCAACGAACATTACGTATATTTGACCATGAGTGAGTCACATAATTTTTCGACCGGAATGTTCCCCTCTGCTCCAATGAGACACATGCATGCATGAATACGAAAAGAGAGGTCTCTGACAGACGAGCACCATAATTCCAAACATAACACCATCACATTTCCGACACGATTCATCACACTACCATCACATTTTCATCACGATTCCAACATGATATTCAACATAAAGTCCTGTATTCAACTGTTGATAAATAATTTACCAACACATAGTTCAACCTTCCAAACGTAGCTCAACAAAATATAAACAGATTCTCAATAGTTTACCAACACAAAGTTCAACTGTTTATCCTGTCACTTCATATGAACTACATAAGTCACGCACGTTGGTTTCCTTCACTTTCTGTTGAGCATGGTGCATGTGTCAGGATAAACAGTTGAAAAACAGTTTTTAAACGGTTGTTCGGGGGTGAGACCCCACGATCAATAATAAAAAAAACGGCGACAATTTTTCTGTTGTCGCCAGCTTACCGTGCTGATCTGAGCTCCTACTTCTTCCTGCTTCTTCGTCTCCTCCCACTCCCCTCGTTCCTTGTACTTCTTCCTGCTTCTTCGTCAACTTTCATGCAATCAGGAGATCGCATAATTTCGGAACCCCCTGCGCGTCACATATGTGACGAACCACTTCCCGACCCCGTGCTATCTTTCGTTCCCCTTGACTCAATACCCCCTTTTTGTATCATACTGACCCCACAAAACCCCCGTCACTTTTCTTGATTTCAGGCGCCTTGTTTGGGCCCCTATTTTCGGAAGTTCTATTGATTCTTGGAATTCTGTTTTTTGTAATTCAGGAAATGCATGGGAAATTACACGCGCCTTAGCGAGCGCACTGGGAATCGGGCTCGACAGTTAGGAATTCCGGAATAAGTGGAACCCGATGTGCTGTGTAACCGTTTGAACGCCGTGAACGCGCGTTCGCGTTCAAATGTGCGTTTGAACGCGGATTGTGCGTTCGCATTCAAAATTGAATGGCGTTCAATTTTTTTTTTATATTTTTATTTAAAACAAAAATTATTTTAATGCCTAAAAATATATTTTTTTTTTTGATTTTTTTTTTTATGAGCTATGTATGATGTGAGGTACATGCCTTTCAATTTTGGAGTCATTTTGCAAAGGCAAAAAATAATAATAAATCGCCAAAGATGGCGGTGTCAAATCGTGTTCGCTCACTAATTTCAATTATTTTTTTACTTTTTTTTAATTTTCTGTTTTCTTTTTTTTTTTTCAATTTGGTAACGAATTTAGATGTAATACTCAGGCAAATGTTGTTTAGTTTATTTTTCTTCATAACATATATTGTTTTAGGGTTTTTTTTTTTTTTTTTTTTTTTTTCCCGTGCGGAATTGAACTCCGCGTTCGGTCCCGTTCATTGAACGCGCGTGCATTCCGTTTAATTTCTGAACGAAAAACCCGCGTTTAATGAACGCGCGGTTTCACAGCCGACGTGTCTTTTTCTTTGCATGTATCTTCTCGATCACGACGGAGAAAACTCTAGGAATTTTGTGAGAATACGGATAGGCATAGGACTTTCTTTTCCCGCGTCGACTTTCGTGTGCGGACATGGTGATTTCAATTTTTGAATTGGTGTAGGACATAGGCAAGCTGTAACTGTTTTGGTGCCTTATTGTCTCTTGGTGTCGGCGCCGCGCATGCGAGTTTCCTCCTCCTTATTTCCCGCGTCCTTCTTCTACCGCGCTCTCTTCTCTCTCCCTTCCCCCTCCTCTTCTTCTCCTATCACAACTGTTTTTCCCTCTCTCGCTCTCTCTCTCTTTGCTTTTTGCGCGCCTGTTTCCCCTTCTTGATCATTTGAATCTTGGACCCGTCTCGCGCTGCTTTTCGCGCCTCTCCCCTTCTCGCTCTTCAACCTTGGCTCACGAAGCCCGGTTGATCCTCCGACTACCCCTGCTCACCAATCAGACGCGTTGAGCAAGAGGATCTTCCTATTGCGCGACGAATCTGATTGGCCAAAAATCGGGTTGCGAAGGATCAACATGGCTTCCCTTGAGCACCTTTCGCTGAACCTTCTCCTCTTACACCTCGATCTCCCCTCTGTCTTCTCCCCCGTCTACCTTCTTTCTCGCAACTATAAATTCCGCAAGCGCGCTTGCAAAACTCTCTTACGTTTTCCACTCGCAAGCCAGCTTCCGGGAAAAAGTGGCTAGGTGATGCGTTTGGTGCGAGTCGAAAAGTCATGTCGGGCTGACTATAGGCTGGCCGGCTGCGCGCTTGATCGCCACGACGGACTGTGGGATCCGGGCGAGCCGAGTCGAGTCTGCGTCAGCGGGGTGACAATCGCAG